CCATGGACCGGGGGGGAGACAATCAACTCCGTCAATATGCCAGGGTCACTCCCGATAGAGCACCAAATGCCACCCCCCCCTCAACGCTGTTTTCAGGGGGGGGTGAGGTGGGACCACCTCCGCAAGTCAGTGAAGGACTTTGCATAAAGGGGGGATTTTTTGGATGAAGTCATCCCCGCTGTGGAAGATTGTTCAAGACCCCCCCCCCCCCCCCCCCCCCCCCCGCCACCCGCCCGTTCCCCAATCAGGCGTACCGGCCCGCGGCGTACTACTACGAAGTGCTGGAGTGTTTCAGGCGGCTGCTGCTCACGGGGTGCCTGGTGTTCATCCTGCCTAACTCTGCGGGGCAGGCTGCCGTGGCGTGCGTGCTGGCGGTGCTGACCGTGGCCGTCTTCGCCTTCGTGAGCCCTTACAGCGACCCCGACGACCACCGAGCGTACACGCTGGGGGCGTTGGCCATCTTCCTGACGATGTTCATGGGGCTCGTTGTGCGGGTGAGAAGAGGGGGACGTACACACTTAGGCTTTGGCGGAACCGAGAAATGGGGATTAATTCAGACAGGGAGAGGCGTTGTCGTTTTTGATTGGGCACTGGCACCATTTTAGAGCATGAGACAGCGTGGAGTTTCCATTTGCGCCGCTCGTTTTTCACCGTCTACTTTGGGGCAAGTGACACTATCGTTCGATCGGCACTTTCTGCCACCAGCAAAACCCCGTGGTCCTTTTTTCACACCTTTATTTTTACTCTGGTTCGAACCTTTAGCATAGACCAACTACGGCCGGCCCATGTGAAATCAGCACACGGCGTGGCGCGTCGAAAGTGGCAGGTTGGCGTGCACGGAATGTGTGTTATTCGGCAAAACGGTGCTGTCGTGTCCCAACATGGGTACAGTCCCACCGGTTTGACGAAAGTGGGAGAGCACTACTGTACTCCGGAGTACAATACACGCACCCTAATTTTGGTCGACTGTGTGTCCCTCTTTTAACATCTGCTGACGACGACGTGTGCCGAATAAAATCAGCTGGCGACGATGTGCGCCGACAAAACTCGTATTTACTGTGGGTTGTCTGCAGGTGGACCTCGCCGATGAGGAGACCCAGAGCCAGCTAGTGCTCGGCGTGCTCCTGATCCTCTTGACGATCGGGCTGGTGGTGGTGGCCGTCGCGGAGTGCCTCTGGGAGGCCCGTCGCCTTTCCCGTGGCAACCGCGAGGCCGACGGCCGTGACGACCACATCTTCCTGCGGCGGCGCCGCGGTGATCGAAAGAGAAAGGACGGGGGGAGGGGGGGGGGCACCGGCAAGGGTGGCGCCGGCGACCTGGAGGACAAGTTTAGGACGAGCGGGTCGCTGTACGCGCCGAAGCTTGAAGATGTGCCGATGAACAGGGTGAGGACGTATGCATGCCTTCGCGGTTCGGCGGTTAGTGGCACCTATTTGCCGAAGGGGGTCAATTTGCAGTAGTCCGGGAACTTGTGGTGGGTGACTTGGTTTGGCCGGAGCACTGCACCGTACGGTACCGTGGTTGTTTGCTGCCGTCGTGACACGTGCTGTTGTTACTTTTTGATGGACATGCCGCGGGCGTTGTTCTTTTCCTTACGAACAAGCTGCTCGGTTTTTGACCCTCTTGTGTGTGTACGCGTAATGGTTTATCTTGTTAGATGGCCACCTTGAGAGGGTTTTGGCCGGTTTATTGCCGTCCCTGGATCGGTTTTGCTTACCTGGTATAATATTCTAGCAACTATGGAATATTTTTGAGATTTTTATGTTTTCCTCACGGAAGAAGGATTTTTTTTTGTGGATGTGATCGCGGAGTGAACAGCGCGGTACTGGTGTGTCCCGTCTCAGTACTCGGCATCGTCGGAGTTGGGTGTGGGTCGGCGGACAAGCAATTGACGTTACGTTCACAGCTTTGCCTTGCAGGCAACGCTTGTATATGCCTTGTCTATTAATAACATAGGCCTGTCGTTTGTTGCTCTTGTCCTTGGGATTGTCCTTTCGAACACACCATGACCCCGCCCCCCCCCTCCAGGCATTCGGGGCCTCCAGAAACAGTGGCGCCGCTAGCGCACCCGAGGTTTTCGACGCCGAGAAGGCGGCCGCCGCCGCCGCCGTCGCCGCCGCCGGGGCCGCCGGGGGGGGAGGCCCCCGACCCCGCGGCTCCCAAGTGTTCATGCTCTCGTCGGCGGGCCAGGACAAGAAGGCGCACGTGGCTTTCGCGGGCACGAGCAGCAACGTCCACCCCCCCGTCGACACCGGTACCGGCGGAATCGGCGGTGCCGCTCCGTCTTTCCCGGTGTACCGTGGGACCGCCGGGAGCAGCGGCATCGGCGAGATGGGCTTGCGGTCGTCGTCGGGGTCCCACTCTCCCATCCACCCCAGGAGAGACGGCGGCGGCGGCAGCGGTTACCCCGGCCTGGTGCCGGCGGAAGCGGAGAGCGCCCCGCCGGGGGTGGTGGAGATGGAGCCCGCGCCGCCGTTGCCCGTAGCGGGAGGAGGTGGTGCCGGCGGCGAGGGAGACGGCGTCCGTAAGAAGAGGGCCAAGAAGAGATCGTCCAAGTCGCGGAGGGACGGGGGAAGGGGAAGGTCGTCGTCATCTAGGAGGCTAGGTGGGGGCGACGGAGGCATGCGTCCGGCAGTGCCGGATGCCGGGCCCGAGATGGACGAGATGAGGCCTTCGCCGGGCGATGGCACCGGCGCTGCGGGCCCTTGGATGTCTTGAAGGGGGCACGGGATTGTCTTGCCCCGGTCCTTGGGTGTCTTTTTAAGTGGCAACGGATTGGATTGTATTCTATCCCGGTCCATTTGGAGACTCCAACTCCCAGCCCTCGGATGCCTTGAAAATGGCACGGAATTGTCTCATCCCCACCCTAGGACGTTGTAAAGGGCACGGAATTGTTTTATGTCCCAGCCCCTTTGATGCTGCCTACGGGTGGATGCAGGCGTCGGCCTAGCTTGTTGCATGCTGAATGAAAGAACCGCCCCAGTTCGTGCAGCATGCAGCCGTGGCGTACCCTGGTGTGACTTTCAATACCATCTTGTATAGTAGACTTGTGTTTGATACCGAAAGTGTGTGTGTGTTGTGGTCTCAGTCTGTCTTGGCGTGAGTCAGCCGGCGAGAGACAAGTGAGTGAGATGGTGGAGAGAGAGAGAGAGAGAGAGAGAGGAATTTACAAAGTTAAAATTTTTCGGAGGAGGGGGGCTGGGCGTCATGGTGAGGCCTGACCCTGGGGTTTACATTATCTTCGTGGCGTGGTTTTGTTGAGTTGATGCCTTTGCTTGTCTTGTTTTTTTTTAACGCGGTCACAGTCTTGGAGATTCTCCCCTTGTAGCTCAATCCACAGCTACAAAGTACAATGACAGGCTCATCGACGAGACTGGCCGTTGTTTCAAGGCCAGGGCGTAGTGTCTGTTGTGGTAGGATGGCGGAATGTGTATAGTACGTAGACCTGCGTTAGGCCCGTTGACGGTGTTTTGGTGTATATTTCGTTGGAGAGCAGGAGGGCTTGTCGTCACCTGCAAATGGTTTTTATGTCTCGAAACAGCAAAGGATGTTTGTGCTTGGAGGAGGAGGAGGATGAGGAGGGCACACGGAGGAGAAATAGAGGGGGGGGGGAGGAGGATTCGTGGCAAATCCGATTGCTAGTGATGATGCCCCTGGAGATAACCGATCGACTTCATTGCTGTGCTGGGTGTTATCTTGTATATTTAGTCGGTATAAAGGGGTCTTCACCCACCCTTGAAAGGAACTTTTTTATGTCGTTTGTCCCCCATCTACGTTGATGTGATGTCTAGGGAAGGCACAGGGTGCGCCTGGTCTTCGTATTTTCTTGTTTTTAGCTCCGTCGTTGTCGTTTTCTTCACTGTGGAAGTCATTCTGGGGTCTATCTGTCCGGAGGTGGGTGATGTTATTCCTGGAAACGCTGCTGCGTGCGTGCTAGCTGTTCGTGCATGCCCGACAAATCCCAACACTTAGCGTTTTTTTGTATCAAAGTTGATAAGTTGACGAGTGTGTTTGTGTGTTGTTGTGCTAGAGTTGCGTCACCGAGGAAAAACGTTCTACTATACCCGACTACTGTAGAGGATGGGCAAACAGAGATTTAGTGTGTGTGTGATTTTTGTTTTGTGCATCATCCTTCAAATATGCGTCGACCACGCTAATGAAACGCTTGGCCCCTTTTTTGGGTGTTTGTCTTTGGCTGGGAGAGCGCGGTCTCTGCTCACCTATGCTGATAAGGTTTGATCCTGACCAATCGTCCAGTCACACTGTTGTTTCTTTTTTTTCCGCGGCAGGGGTCGATGCTTGCGCCGTTTGTTTGGCAGGAAAGCGTTCTACGGTCCTACCGAGGCAAGCGTGATCGAGGAAGGTCGTGTAGTGGGAGGGGGGGGTGCTGATTGAGGGTTATTGAGTTCAGATGTCACGGGCGCGTTCCTTCCACAACCCTGACAGGCTGGCCCGAAGAAATAGTGCTGCTGTATGCTGTGTCTCCTATCCATCACTTTATTGAACGTCCAACGGCTCCTCCACGAACGATACGAACGTCACCCTCGTCTACCAAAAAAAATGGTGGGCAGCAGCGATGATTGCAGGCAAGGGCGTCTAGGTGCGCCTGAATATATATGCAGAAACAAAGACAGCACGCCAGATAGCAACATCCTGGAACGGCGGTGCAATATTGCGAACACGCACACCGAACAGAGTGAATGACTCGGCCTTTCGGTGTGTCGAAGCAAATGCATACAAAACGGTATTTCTGTTCGTTCTTTTCTTGGACTTGCTTTTTTCCATGCTTGCTCTTCGCTTCGATTCCACCACTCTGGACGCTTTGCCCCCGCGTGCTTGATTGTATTGCAAACACGGCACGCCTTCGGCCAAAGCGCTCTCAGGGGGGTGATTGCAGCCAAAGGTTTTGTTGTTCTGGGATGTGTTGTTGTCAAGGGTGGTCCAACATCCAAATACGCTGTGCTCCACCATTTTTTTTTCTGTTTATCTTCACTCCAAATCAGCGCTCACAGCACTTTTGTGCCGTTACGACAACCAGAAGGGAATATTCGACGACTATGAATATCGCGATTCGACGAAACCTTTGTAGGGGGTGACGCACAGCAACACTGCAGCAAAGCGGCTTGAGGGGAAGGAATAGACGGAGCGGGTCATCATACCGATGGTTGTTGTGACAAGGGCTAGCTGGGCGCCTAGCGAAATGAGTGTCAGGAACACATTTTCTCAGGGGTGTCGGGGGTAGACCTGTTTACGGGTGGTGACCAGTGAACAGTGCATGCAGTGCAGATAAGTTTTTGACTTGCACAGTCCAAGCGTTTGCTGCTATGCGTATCCTGCCGGGACTTGTTTTAGAGGCGAACACGGCCACAACAAGTATCCTTCGGATGTATTATAACAAATATCCTTTGGTTGTATGTGTCATATATACGATCTATCGGCGGGGTGTAGTCTTACCAGATACGGGTACCACTCTGTTCGGAAATATTGGGTATACAACTCTGTTCGGGAATATAGGGACCATTGTGGTATTCGGCTTGTATTCGAATGGCCTCTATGTTTTCGGACAGGCAGGGTGGTGCACGTATGTGTCTTGGTCTTGCAGTAACTTGCACAAGGTTAAGGGCAGGCAGGAAAAGTCTACTATCGAAAAGTCCAAAAGAGGGAGACTGGAGACGACATGGCTGTTCGGGACGCGCGCGTGTAATACAACGATTTTCACTCTCTTTGCTTGTGTCCGAGAGTGAGAGAAGAGAGGGCGGGGGAGGAGAGGTACATGCCAGAGGCAGGTGGGCAGCGTACGAGTTGACAAGACGTTGCCCTCCGCTGAGTTTTTCGTTGTTACACTTTCTTTTCCACGTGCCCCGCCTGTTTGTGTTGCCGATGAGGGTTTCGCGTGTTCACGAGTGTCTCACTCTCCGCCACCGTCAGGACGTGTGGTGCATCGGCGTAGTAAGGGGTTGGTAGCTATGTCCTAATGCAGGTGTGTGAAATGAATCGAAGAGAGTCCTGCGTGGCTTGAGGCAACTGTCCCTTGCTCCAGAAACAGCTGTTGTCGATGGTCTCCGCAACGCACGCCGCAAAACTTGCACGTGAAAACTGCTGCTGTCATCTTGTATTTGTGTGTCGCTGGCTCACGGTTGCACGGCTTGGGGATGTTTGCATCTATCCTGCGGGGAGAGGCTAACGCCTGGCGGCTGGGTGTTACGAGACGGACCGTTCCCTCGCTCCAAGAAGACATGCAGCACGACACGCCCCGAGCACACGCGGTCCGACAAGGGGCTACTTTTGAGCATGAACAACGAAGCTTTCCTCAGGCAACCGTGCCAATCCTCAAACAGCAATTCCCGTTGTATCTGTCGCGTAACGGCGACGACGGTTTGGTCATGAAGAACGTGCGCCGTCGGACGGGGGTCGTATTGAGCATTTCACTCATTGGGTATTGAAAGTTCATATGGGCCAGCCATTGGACGTCCCATGTGTCCCATGGGCCTCGTGGGCCGGCCAATGGCTGACCCGGGGACAGCCATGGGACACGTGGGCCGTCCCATGGACAGCCGTGGGACACGTGGGCTGTCCCTAGGACAGCCATGGGCCACATGGGCCGGCCCACGTGGCCCATGGGCTGCACCACGTGGCCCATGGGACGCCCCATGTGGCCCACGCGTGGGCCGGCTCAATGGGCCAGCCATTGGACGTCCCATGGGACACTCCATTGGCCGTCCCACGTGCCCCATCGGACAGCCATTGGACGCCCCACGTGCCCTATGGCGCTGTCCCTGGGACAGCCATGGGACGGCCCACGTGGCGCGCGCAAGAGCGTTATTAATGTGATGGATATCATGTTATATATACAAGGGCTCCGGACTTCGGGCACAGAGGCGCCCTCGTCCTCAGTAGTAGGCTTAAAGGGAAGGTGTGAAGGCTGTGCACAGCATACCAAGGGCATGAAGCCGCAGGGTGACCGAATGAACGGTGTGAAGATGTTCGCGTTGTATTCGAGAAATGTGCCGTTCCCGGTGTAACATGAAGCCAAAAGAGTCGCGTGTACGTGACTTTTTGTCTAGCTTCGCCCGGTGCGGACGAAAAGGAGATGTAAGCTACGGTCGCCTCCCTATTCTTGCGCCGGTAAGAACGTAGTAACACTCTCAGGCAACGTTCTCTAAGTGGCTTTGCTGTGGCCAATATCCTCCCCAAAGGGGCCAAAGAAAGAACAAACACTGCAACTGTTCGACGGTATTGCCGGTAGTTGATGGTACTGGTGTGTTGCCGCCTAGCTCTCATATTCAAGCTTCTTCAGTGTGGCGCCTTTCTCTAATATCTCCCTCTAATGTTCTGGAGCTATTATTCTAACTTTTTCGGTGTCGTCCCGCTCGAATGGTCATATTCTCACTCCTCCAGTCTATTGTCGCGCCCTTCTCTAATATCCCCCTCTAATGACGCCGATATGCGGTATCCCTCACAATGTGAAAGGAGCCGAACACCTACAACATTCAGACAAAGTAAGGACAAACACCGCACGCAGTGGTTTGACGGCGTTGCCGCTAGTTGACGGTGAAAGAGTTGACGCCTCCCGCCTCGGGTCATCGTTGCCCCTTACGGCCCTGGTGGTTATTGCCGATTACCACTGCGGAAGGTATGGTTTCGTTTGCAGCCTTGTACGCAGGTCTCGAGCTTCTTAATGTTGAAGCGTGACGGTGATGGCCGTGATGATGTCGGTGATGGTGCAGGCGGTAGGGTGCCTGCGCTGGTGGCAGAATGCAATTATTGGGGAGATGGATGTAAGAGCGTGTACGTGTCATAACCGTATAATGTAAATTTAGAGCAGAAGAAAGAGGTTTTTGGGGAGGAGGTAATGTGGAGGCATTAATAAAGTGGATGTTTATCTGAGCATCAAAAACTCGTTTAGCTGCGATGATTTCTTCGACACGGGATAGTTCTCATAATGTTGTTGGAGGTTGAATATGCCGTGGTAAGCACGTCCATGCAAGGTGAGCATTGAAGGGGCTGGCGGTTCAGTCCATGTCTCTTTTTGAATACAGCCTGCGCCTAATGCAGTAAATCCGAAAAGCCCGTTGTATCGTGATATCACACCGTTTCATGGAATAATTGGAGGAAGTTAGTCAGAAGTTAATGAATTTAGTAGTTTCAAACAGCGCCATAAGATGGTGGGGGATAGATTGGAGAGGATGGATACACGACTTGCCTTTGTTACAACAATTTAATCCCTTTTCTTCTTTCCAAAGTTGAGCATTGCAGTGAGAACATGTGATATTTTGTGGATCATCCAAATCCGTGTGTTTTAGCTCAAAAGGTGCCGAGGGGAAGTCGAATGATTGCGAGTCAATGTCTTGCACTCCAAGACAGATTTGGTTATTAGCATCACCGCGATGGCTGTCTAGACTGGGTGCCGGTAACCTTGGTGCACGATTCCTCATTTGGCTAAAATGTTGACGTATCATATCGAGTTCAGGGTCTGAGTCGTGTGGTGTGTTATTGTTTGCATTGCGACGTCTACATTCCGCTAAGATTTCAGCTTGCGCGTTATCCGGACAGGTTTGTGGTGTTCGAGTTTCAGGCGTCGTTCGGGGTTGGGTGAGCGATCTTCGTTGGGTATTTCGACGAGCTGAAGGTGTTCGTCGATTTGGAGTTGTTTGTACGTTCCTCGAGGGAGTGTTACTCTCGCTGGGGGTGTGGGTTGTGACGTGCAGTATGTGATCGTGTTTGGCGATTGTGAGATGCGGCTGCTGAACGAGTTACCCAATGAATTGGCGTCAGCCGACATCGATGATTGTCAGACATGGGGTGACATCTTTACTCTATTGATAGTTGGCGAAAGCCAGTTGCAGGTGGCAACAATGTGCCTTGAATTTCTTGAGACGTTTACTTTTTTTCTGAAATGGAAACACGCGTCTTACTTTAGAGGTCGGCGTGGGTAGTTCCCAGGTCGCGGTGCTCGTCGGTCATGTTGAGGATCTCGTTGATGGTCTGGTCCCACAGGCGGCGGGCGCACTGGTAGTGCAGCGGCGGGGAGTCTCAATCCTTGATGATCAGGTCGTCCTCGACGATCTCGCCCGTGCACCCGTCGGCCAGGTCTTCCTCGTTAGTCGCTGCGTCGGGACACCTTTGC